AAGAAGGTAGAGCTCTGATTGGACGGCAGTTAAAGAAGGTAGAGCTCGTGATTGGACGGCAGTTAAAGAAGGTAGAGCTCTGATTGGACGGTAGCTGAGTTTTATAGTCGGTCACTGACGTTCTTGTTGTTCTGATCTCCAGGTGCTGATTAGTTTTTAATCAACCACCACCATCGCCATGGTTACAGTCTGTGCTCTTCCTTTGTTTGATGCCTAACGGTAACTGGCAGCCATCTTGTTTGTTTCCCCTGCAGGGCGTGGCGGCGACGGCGGCAGCCCCGGAGAGCGGGGCCTCTCTGGCCCTCAGGGCTCTGGGTTGGGGGTCCCTGTTCGCTTGGGGGGGAGTCGGCCTGCTCAGCGTCGCCGTGTGGAAAGCCCTCGGTGTTCACAGCGTACGTTTTTTTTTTACCCACAATTCACTGTTTCACCTGGAAAATACCGTAATAAAAACAAAACAAAAAAATAAAAAGTAAAATTTATTTCAAATTGTTGGTTTTTGTTCATTTCTGTCAGAACCATTATATTTGGGTCCAGTTGGTCGGACAAACCTTTTCAGAACCTTTGTGTTTGTTTGGTTCTTACCGGGTCTCTCTGGTTCTCCTTCAGTTGGTGGAGTTCAGGCTCAAGATGCAGTCCCTCTTCCCATCCATCCCGAAGAACCCAGAGGCTGCAGCCGGGTCAGAACCGCTAGACTGGGACTCTCTGTTCAGGTCCAAGTGACTCTAAACCAACGTGATCCGGACCACTGGACTGTGGGATCAGTGACAGAACCGATCCGTTTCCACGACTTCCTGTTCTGAGGTCCGACTGGAGAAAGACGAGACGGTTCTGCTTCTTGTTTTTGCCTCAGTTGGGTTCTGATCCAGAGATTCTTCAAACTGGACCCGATTCTCAACATTGTTTCAGCAACAAACAGCGTGAAATGTCCCTCAGAGGCCACCGTACACACGAGCCCAGTTAGGTTCTAAATGGAAGTTCTGAAGAGATTGTTTTGTTTTTATAAATTCACTTCCTGAGTTTCCTCCATATTTTTCTCTGCCGGTAAATTTAAAAATAAAATGTTTGAAGATTAAAAAATGTTTTTAAGCATTTAGAGACTTTTAGATGGAAAATATTTTATTTGCAGGAAACTTGTTGAGGTTTTCAGAACCTTTTGTTATTTTCACCTCTTGGTGGCGCCGGAGATCCAAACAACCCAGAGAGGTGAGAGAAGCGGGTCAGGTCCAACATGAAGACCGTTACGGGTTTAGTGTAGAACCTTAAATCACAAATCTGAACCTAGAACCCCCCAAAGGTCAGAACCTGCAGGTTTAAAACATTTTCCTTCCAGAACCAGACGTCTGTTAATCTGAGCTGAGCGTTCACTCTAATTTGGTCTAATCCTTGAACCGGACCCGATCAGGGCAACTTTCATTGGGTGGTTCCTCCAAGTCAGGGTCCGGACCCCACTGACAAACCTACGGCTCCAAGCGAGGATTAAAGTTGAGGTCCAGACCCGTTTACAGTAAAACATCTTCAGTTTGGTTTTGGATCAAAGTGACCCGGTTCTGTTCAGTGCTCAGAGTTCATGCACGTTTATTCTTCAACGTGTTGTGGAACATATAAAGATCTCGTACTGAAGAAACAAAACCTTTTTCTCTTTTTACATTTGTTACAACGCTTCCTGATGTGAGGTCATCAGGAGTGAAGCCCCGCCCCCCACTTCCTGTTTACACGCAGCCCCTCCCCTCCAGGTCAGACCCCAAAACTTGAGACTCAGCTAACCGGACCTGAAGGACCAGGTGAGCTGGTCCGCTGCTAATGTCCATCGTCTTTTTACAGGAGCAAAAAGTCCTGGAGTTCAGAAATGGGCCCCCACCCCCCGGTGGTGAAACTCTGGTGACCCCCCCACCCCCCGTGGTGGAACTGATGGTGGAAGAATTCACATTAAAACAAACTTATTGCACCAGAACAAAGAACTCGACTGAACGTCGGCGTTTCCTCCGCCCACAACGATTATCTACATCACGTTTAAATAGACCCCGCCCCCAAACGACCACGAGCGTCGCCACACTTTGGTTCAAACAAAACAAGAAAACCTTAAAAAGTATTAAATATTTTTGTATTAAAATTTAACCTAAAGGTTTCTGTGGATGGAGATATATTTTCTATATTTAATCTTTTGTAAAAACTTTAAATAAAAACGGAGGAGGACCCGGGGGGGTTCCGCGCTCGCAGCCCCACTGAGCGCGCTCCGTGGCGGTGTTCGTGTCACGAGCGGCTCAGTTTGAACAGAACCTCACACATGATGGACGCCACCGCCGGGTTGAGGGCGGCGGACAGCGACATGTCCAGCAGCCGGCTCTCGAACAGAACGAACTCGGCCCGGTTCTCCTCCACGCTCGCCATGGCCAGCAGCGCCTTGGCGGCGCGGCTCATCATGTTGATGCTGGGCGGCTCCGGCGGCAGCGCGGCGTGCAGGACGCCCTGAGGGTTCTGCTGGTACTGGGCCATGGCCAAGCTGTCCTCCAGGAACCCGATCAGAATTCCCACGCTGCCTTTCTGCAGGGCGATGGCCCTCGCCGCCGTGGGGTCGCCCCGCGCCAGGTTGGACAGCACGGCCACCGCCATCTCCCGGCACACCTGGCTCCGCCTCTCGCCCACCAGGCGCAGCAGCGCCGAGAAGAGCTGCTGCTGGCGGCTGAAGGGCGGCGTGGCGAGCAGCAGGTCCACGTTGCAGTCCTGGACGCTCAGCTTGCAGAGACACTCCAGGACGAGTCTCTGCGGCGTGAGCGACGAGAAGCCGCCGGCCGAGGAGAACGGGTCGTGGGCCTCGGCGGACGGACACACCATCCAGTGCAGCAGCCCGTCCAGGACCGGCAGGCAGACGGTCTCAGGGTACAGAGACAGGTCCAGCTGACCCGCCATGTTGGCCAGCGTCACCAGCGTGTTCTCCCGCAGCACCGCCACGCAGTCCCACCACCACTCATCCCGGCTGCAGGCCAGGCCCTGCTCCTCCTCCCGCTGGTAGTTGGGGGGCGTCCGCCTCCTGGGGCGGTGGCGGTGATGCAGCAGCACCAGTCGGCCCAGGATCAGAACCAGGCCCGGGTGCCGTGACAGGACTGCTTCGTTGCCGGGGACAAAGGAGAGGTTCCTCATGATGTTGGAGATGCAGACGCAGCGTCTGGCCAGAGAGTCCTGCCAGGACTCGGCCGTGGACAGCGGCGCCTCGTCCCAGCACCACGGCTCGTCCTCCAGCTGGCTGATCGGACTCTGACCTTTGACCTTAGACAGTGGGCCTGCAGACACAAGAATCAGAATGTAAACATTAAAGAGACGTGGAGACGCAGCCTGGTTCTGACCAACTACACAGACCAGGTACTGATCCTGGAGACGGGACTCTGACACAAACTCAGTCCGGTGACCTCTCCTGCCCGAGGACGAAGAAGGTCCAACTCATTTTTACACGAGACCAAAAGTAAAAGCTGAGTTTGATCGACTCTTCTTCTCAGCACGTAGCTGCAGAGCTGCTCTCACAACATGAGTGACCGCATGGTCCTAGAGCCTGACCCGTTTGAGCTGCTGCCACAAACCATTTGAAACAAAAACATTTCAGTGATCATTTTACTGAACAGAACCATGAACGGGTTTTTGTTGTTTGTGACTTTTAGCCTCGTGGATCTCGTACCGCCCGAGTGTCGACCCGGTACCGCCTCGACCCAAACACCCAACATTTAATGCATCAGCTACAAACAATGTAAAAACAGCTACGATCAAAAGAAATGTAGAGCTGCTGCCAGTCACCATGGTAACTACACACGTCTGTGTCTGTCACACCATGACAGCACTCTTAATACGACAGGCGGACAGAAACAGACTGAAAAGTAAAGTTAGCGTCTCACCGAGCTGCCACTTTTACAGAAATCTGAATGTTCAGCTGCAGTTTGAATTATTAGATTTGGACCATTTTTAAATGTGAAAATCTCTTCTTGGATGTGCACGTGATGCTGTGACGTGCACGTGATGTTGTCGGCTCGTAAAGTCCCGTATTTTTATATATATATATATATATATATATGTAAT